AGGATCTGTGTGTGCTGTAAATGGCCTTTGAGTCATGGGGAAATGTATGTATTGTACTTTAATATCTGTATTGTGTTTGAATATCTGTAAGTAAAAGAAAAGGGGGAAATATAGTAGAGGTGGCGTTTGAGCCGTAGTAAAATCTGTGTATTGTATAAGTGGCCTTGCCCTGATCCTAGTTGTTCTAAATGGGCTGCAGCTGTGATGTCCTTAATTGGGTGGCAGCTGTGGCTAATGAAGATAATTGGGATAAAAGGGGGTGGGCTGGCTGGTCAGGGAGAGCCTTGGAGGAGCACTGCTGAAGAAGCAGGAGCTACACTGCTGTGAAGAGCTGTATGTGAGGAAACCACCCAGAGGGTACTGGACTTAAGAAATATGATAATAACAATATGATACCACACTTGTCCATTGTCTATTTTCACCTTAGGCAGTCTCTTCAGCTCAGCTAATTCCTCTGTGCTTTCTTGCAGCTCCTCTTTTAATGACACAAGTTTTACTATATAAAGAAGCCTGATCAAGAACTGTGCATCTTTAACAGGTTTCTCCAAACATATCACACCCTCGCTGCAGCAGTGGCATTAATATTGCCTGTCACACCTCACAGTCCTATGGGAAACTGCACTATCTGCCAGTAAAACCTTTCTTCATGTTGTTCCCTAAGTGATCACTGAGTGTCTCACATAAATACATACAACAGGAAACCTTCTTCCTGTTCTTTTTTTTTAACTTGAATTTGAATAGAAATATCTATTTTGTTGTTTGTATGCTTGATAGGTTCTGGGGCTGCTGCTCATAAGGTGTGAAATATTCTCTTTCATCCCTTCCAAATTCTATTAAAATCTAGTGCTTAAGTTACTATTCCCCTGAGCTTAACCCATTTTAATAAGTTTTAGATGCTTATTTGGTTTTTAAAATTTATCCTCCATCTCCTAAATCTCTTTCCTTGCTTTAGCATATGCTTTGGAAGACACATGCTTAGAATATATTAAGAAAAATAATTACCAGCGGTGCAAATATAACAGTTTTGCTTTGTTAGCAATTCATTTGATGCTGCAGTTCTAATGCTGGTATTGAGCAGACGTTAAACATGGCAAAAGGTTTATTCATGAAGCATGAGAATATCAGTCTATTGCAAGCCAGCACACTTTTGTACCTAAAAAATACCAGTAGCTTCTTATATCTTTGTATTTGTGGTATCAGAGCTCTTCATAGAGATTTCACACTGCATTGACTGGAGAGAGCTCCCCTTCCTTCCAGAAGTGCATTTGAAGCTGAAATAGCAGCTTTGGCCACATATTCTGACAAGAGAGTGTGTTTTACTTTCTGTCATCAAGTCTTGGATCTTTATTATGCTGACTGTAAAAGGGGATAAAAAATAGAACTATGCTAAACCTTAGTTTATATAACACAAATTTAATAGGGAGCAATTAAAGCAGAGCTAAAATAGAAATGTGCCCTTTAGCCCAAAACTTAATGTCAGCTGAACTCGTGTTCTTTCCAACATAACAGGAGGCCATGCTAATTCTGTAAAAATGAACTTTTTAAGTTACACTTACTTAATAGTAGCATTTTCATTAGGACCAACAAAAAAAATTAAAAGGAAAAAAAAAGCTTAAGATTAAATCTTTAAGCAAAAATATTCCCACATATATTACTTGCCTAGGAAATTATTCACTCTTAAAAAGCTATTACTTATTGGGATAGTCATAATTCTTTGTGAGCTTTCCTTTTTTCATTTTGGTTGTTTTAAACAGGTTACTTTTGAGAAACTTGGTCTCATGATTTCACTGAAATCTGAGTTAAACAGTTTCTTGGGAGAGAGTTTACCAGACAATGAGTGCTATGGTTTGTGTTAAATTAGGTGTGTGTAACACAAGTGATGCCATGATCAATGTGACAGTTGGACACAAAGATCCCATCTCCACAGGTGGGCAGTGAAATCCCAGCCTGTAATGAACAAATTTATTGCACACAGTAGGTAAATATTTGTTGTACCAAGTCTCATAGTTGCTCCTCTATTATTTTTTCCCCAATCTCATTAAAACTGGATTATGGCTTAATATTGCTTTATTGTCTGCACTCTGCCTGCAGAGCAAGACTGTTACTTGAGATTGTGAAACACTTCCACACTGACACAGATGAAAATGACTCTTAATTCTTGTGGAGGGAGAACAAGAGGAGAAATAGGTGACCACAGAAACCTGGCAAGCATGAAAATGATCCTTGGCTTTCTCAGTGGGACTGAAAATTCAAAAAGGGACCAAGGAAGCATGGAAGAAATAACCCTAGAAATGCATCTTCACTTACCAAATGTTACTGCGCCAACTTAAGAAATCTTTGCACTGGCAAAAGAGCTCTGTTTCTCCAGAAAAGGTCTCCACTTCTCTGAATGACTCAAGGGTTCACTTGTAACTGAGGGAAAACCTCCTGTGGTGACCAGTTCTGAGCACTTTATCACCAGCTCTAGGAACTTCCCATAATTATGCTCTGCAGGTAAATTACCATCAACACAACAAACACAGCCAGACATTAAACATGAACTGAGAAGCATCTGGAATCTTTGAAGAGACAGAAAATGTAATGTGATTGGAGTTGCTCTGAAGATAGCTATGAAAGTACTTCCTGTTTGAGAGGATTTTGCCCACACGTTGTCCCAAGAATAACACCAAACAATAACTGACGTTTCTGCAGGGTCTTTGGAACAAGGAGCTTACAGAACAGAAGTGGAATTGTTTCCAGTTACCCAAGTTTCTTTATCATTTATGATCAGGGCCTCAAAATCAACGCTCCAGCTTGAAGCTGTGCCTCTTGGCAGGGCAGCATGGCATTCATGTCACCTGTGGCAAAAGTTGGCAAGACTGTGCCTGACAGACAAGATGCCCATGATCATTCACCTTCTGTGATTTAATCCCTTGGGGCTGGGGCAGGGAGAGTTGCTTCACTTCCTGTGCTTTTCACACAGGAGTTAAAGGCCATAAGAGTAAGACTCAAATCCAGCTTCTTCCTCCATCTCTTCCCAGCAACCAAATTTCAAGTCTGAGGCACACTCCTGTGGAATGCTGTATCTGTTTGAGAGCAAGTTAATTACATGCACGTTAGAAATGTGAGCAAATTAAAATCCTCTTGCTTAATATATTTGTCCTCTGTGTTGAATTTCCTGAGAGAAAATGGACAATTAAAACTGCACAGAATTCCTTAGGAACTGCCAGTAGCCGTGTGAGAGCCAGCACATGGATGTGAGGAGGCAGCCAGAAGGAATAATTCCTTGTGAAGGAATAATTGAAAGGAGTAACCATGTGGCCACAGGCAGCATGGAGCCAGGCTAGCAAGGGCCACAGGTGCCAACAGCTCTAGGAACCACAAGAATAAATCCCTAAGGAAAGAGTAGCTATACCTAGGACATGGGCATCACTCAGTGAAGAACCTGGACAGATAAATCCTGGAGGATTTTGCTGCATCTGTGCAAGATAGTTCTGCGAATCCAGCTGTGAGTGAACAAATCAGGATTGTTCCTCTGCCTCAGCCATCACTGTCTGCAGTGCAGTTTTTAAGCTAGAACACTTCTGTGGGGTTTGTGCTAAAGCAAGGATTCGAACTGGCACATTGACAATGAAGACATGTATCTTGCTCTGATGCTGTGACAGGCAGTAATGGACTATTTATCTGTGGGAAGCACTGCCAGGAGCCCCTGCCAGCTCAGCTTTAAGGGCCCCATGAGAGCTGAAAAGATGGTCTTGTTAGGACACATTCCTGATGGGAAAGGAATCTTCTTCCAGGTCCTGCCCAGACACACCAGGACTGTTCAAAGCCTGGCCTGGAAAAGAAGATTAATGCTCCTTCACATTGGCTTGCATGTTCTTTTATATTACCACATATCTAGAAAGAACACATTTGACAAAATAAACTCAATTTTAAAAAGCCAGGGGTGAGGTGTTTATTGTTAGTATGTCCTTTTACTCAGAGATAAATGGTTAAACTCTTCCCAAAGTATGTGAACACTGAAGACAAAGCTGCTTTTGTGACAGCAAGTTCAGTGAAGATTTGGGACTCCACTCTTCTGGATACTGAATTCCCTTCTCTGAGCTTACAGCCAAGAACTGGACACTGGGAGAGCCTAAGCCCTGACTGTACAGCAGAGGTAAAGCACTGCTTACCCACTATATAAGGAATAGATCTCCAGGCCTGCAATCTCAGCAAAAGAAGGAAAACTTACTAATAAAAACTATAAATGCAGAAGTGTTTATGGGACACGTTATATAACACTCCTCCTCAAGCTTTGTGCCTTCCCCTGCGCTGACAAACACCATGAATCGTTTTATCTCTCTGCCTCTTTATATTAAAGGGAGTCTAATTTTAAGAACAGAAACTGGGCCAGTTTCTTATGATTTAAAGCTATAAATTAGCATTCATATGAGCAAAGAGTTTGCATCCTGTTCTGTTTCCTGTTTCTGTCCTACCTTCCCCCCAAAAAATATCATGCTTTTTTTTTCTTTTTGCAGACTAATGCTGGAAGCAGGAGTAGTTCCACAATTTCAGAGTGCACTTAAGAGAGAACAAATATATTTTTCAAATGCTTTAATTGGAGAATTACACTAAAAGGCTTAAGTAATTTTTATGATGGTTGAGGTAGTAGATGGCATCTGCTTTTCTTTGCAAATAAATGTCACATAGCAAGCCTACAATTCTAAAAGATGTGAACAGCTGCTAACTAAAAAGAGGCCAAAAGTTGCAGTGGGATAAAAAGCATTTTCTTAATATATTGTAAGGAAGACAGTCTGGCTTTGCCTGTTAACACGACGAGATGATATTAGATCCCCATATAATCCTCAAGTTGAAAGAAAATGCAAATACAGGGAAACCTCATCCCAACCCATCTGGAAGAGTGAACACAGCAACGATGCTGCTGTCTCAAACACACCCAACTTCCATGACAAATAGAAGACAATAACCAATGTTTAGGTACAACAAGGGGTTTTGCTATTTTCTCCAGAAAAAGGCGTGTTTTGATAAATAGAATTTCCACCTCTGGGCTTTAAGGGCAGTTTGTGTAAATGATTTGATTTCTAGTTGCTGGGTGCTGTGCTGGAAAGGAAGAGAGGGCCAGCCACGGAGGAAGCAGCCGACAGCCGCCCGTGCTGTGGGAGTGCATCCCTGGAGGACATGCATGGGAGGGAGCCAGCTTTGGAGCGCTGGGAGAGGTTCAGCTGGCAGCACACCAGGAACATTTTGCTCCCAGCTCAGAGTGAGTATGGGAAGAGTATTGGAAAATAGAGCACCTTCACAAGATGTCATTTCTCAGAGTAACTAAAAGCTGTCATGGCTTGAGGGAAGAATGTAGAGGGGAAAATGGATCAGGAAAGAAAGCCTAGGGAAAACACAGGAGGAGAGAGAGTGTGAAAACATGGCAGAAAAAAACAAGAAAAGGGGGTTAGAGTAGGTGGACAAATTAAAAGAGAATAAACAGAAGAAAAGAAAAAGGAATAGAAAGGAGAAAAAGATCAAAGACCTTGGAAGTGGAGTGGATCAAAGACTTTGGAAGTGACCATGTTTGGGGTGCAGTGGCACTTGCAGGGAGAAATCTTTATCTGGCCAACTCAAAGGGCCTGCCTGAGGTGATTTTCACCCAGCCAAGCCTTATGTGAGGTTCTGCTGCCCATGTGTGTCAGGGTCTCCACACAAGGAGCTCCATGAGGGAGAAGGTGTCAGGGCTGGGGCAGGGTCTCAGCCAGGAGGGGACACCCAGCCACCTGCACACGTGTTTTGTGGGTTATTCCACTGTGCACCACAGTCCTACCCTTTCACAGACAGCACATCTGCTACTCCCAATCTACTCTGCCTTTGGTTCCCCTGTTTTTCATAGGACCCATCTCTCCATCTCTTCAGGGGATACCTTTCCTTTCCTTACCATCCCTCTTTCACAGCCTGGAAAACTCAGCTTTAGAGATGAAAGGAGAGCAGCCCCCCAGTATCTACAGGAAGCACAAGCTCGTCTCTCCTCCCTTGGCTGTGGGGAGCACTGGTTCCCAGAATAAGCCCAGTCCAACAGGGAAAGCTGGGCTGGGGCACAGCAATGCCTGGTGTCTGCTGGAGTGCAGAGCCACCCAAGGACAAATCCATCTTGTGGTCGTATTCAAGGCTGCAAAATCCGCTTTTATTTCCATAAGGAATTAAAACAAACTCTTTCAAACGTTTCTATGACACAGAATTGTGTTGAAACATCTGTTTTCTAGCTGAAGATATTTTTTATTCCTCTCTTAGTTTGGATATGTCCAAGGACACTGTCCTAGACCCTTCCAGTCAAATATTTTGTTGTGAAAGACCATGGCTGTTTTAACTGACCTTTTCCTCAGCTCACTGCTCAGATATGATACATACAGAATGCCCAGTGAGTAACTGAAAATTTTCTTTGTCTCTACTATGTATTTGTCTACAAATAAACTACCTTACACTCCCTAAATATTGAAAAATAGAAAGAAAGGTGCCATTTATTACATTTTAACTGAAAAATAATTTGGCTGATGCATGACTAAAGGATGCTTCACAACCTTCTATTTCTTTATTTAAGGAAGAAAGAAAACTTAAAGCATGTTTCAAGCTCTATTTCACAAGGGTTAATTTAATTTTTGGCAATGCAACTCAAAATTATTTTAGATTCAAAGAAAAGCTGGGCTAGAAGAGAAAGAACCAACTTGCAGGAAATGCAGCTTTTGGGGTAAGACCTGAGCACGTTGTCTTCTGAGCTGCTGAAAACATTCCACATAGGAAAGGAGTACTTGGTATTAGGGTTCCAGCCAGCACTAAAAATATGGAAAATGAAGATTCAGTGGGGGTATAAAAATGTGTTTCATGCTAATTATTTTTTTCACTTATGTTTCACCTATAGAAGTAATTTAGCTTTGTAAAAACCTTTTTTCAAAGGGTCTGTTTAGGTATTCACTGTTAAAACCAGCAATATTAACCTACTTATTTTTTACTGCTGTTTTAGTTCAAGTAAAATAAAAAAAACTATTGTATTTCAGATTTGTAAGCCTCCAAATGGAAAGCTGCTACAATATGATGGAAGTTATTTTGAAATATAAAAAAAAATTATTGCTAAGGATTAAGAATCTGCAAAGTAGTGAATTGAACTCCTGTTTTTCCTTATTGAGGAGCCTGAACTTTAAATTTCCACGGCTGTTTTTTTTTATCCCCTCATCTGTGGAAGTCTTTGGAGTCCAGTAGGGATTCTAAGGATAAACTCAGTGAACATTTTGTCTTTGCTATTTCCTCGGAAGAAGAGAACATAACTTCAGATCACTTCTGTGATCTGTCAAGTCATTTGAACATAAGGAATAATATTAAACATTTCTCAGAGGAAAACAGATTTCAAATCCATTAATTTGGACAAACTGTCATTGTGTCTTCTTGATGTCAAATCTCATGTAAGAACTTGATTTCAAGAATGGTCCTTTGTGGAACCTGCTCAAGGAGTTGGAATTTGAGCCGGACAGAAAGAAAATGTTTAAAAGCGACGCTGTCTCTTTGGCTGTGGTAGTTTTGAAGAGCGTATTTTAGTTGTGGAAAAAGATAAATAAATATTTTCTATTTAATTTTTGATAATTTAGCTTTCAAATGATCATTTATAACAGTAGCCTATTTCCAAACCCCTATCCATACAGCTTTTGTTGAAGCTTCACAGCCAAGCTGAGCTCACACAGTGCTGGGCAGCTCCTCCTTGCCCTCATGCAGAGGCATGGAGCCAATGGAAAAGAGGGAGGAAACCAGCAGGAAAACCAAATGCCAGGCTTGCTTCTTCCCTTCCCCTCCATGGCCAACTGCCACCACACAAACAGCTCTTAATGTTACCTCCTCACATACAGCATTCCTAGTGCTTCTGCTGGGAAGTGCCACAGCAGCAAACAGAACAAACCAGCATCCCTAAGAACCCAAGTGGAGAAGAAGTCTGGGCTGTGCCTTAGGACCACAGGAGCACTGGGAAGAGTCCCTTCCCCACAGGGGCACAGCAGTCACTCACCCACATCCATTGCTTTCTTCCCAGAGTGTCCCTGCTGGGACTGCATGACTGCCACAAGCTTAAATCTTGTGTGTCCCTCACAACATTCCTGGCAAAATCTTCCTTCTCGGGGGAAAGTGTGATAGATCAGAGATTGATTTTGGCATCCTAGCCTAAGCTGAGTAAAATGGGGAGATTTAAAAAACCACAACAACATAAAAAGCATTTTAATTAAATAGGTGGCAAATTTCAGGTCAAATTTCTACCTAGATCTCACTTTCACAAAAAGATTGTTCAGAA